ATTCACTCGGTTGTCAATTTAACAAATTCCGATTCGTTCCGATCATTCCATTTTATTCTGTTCCCTGATAATATGTGGTCTGCTCTACTTATTCTTTTATTGGAAACATTATCATCATACTTTTATATTCTAGTAATACTAAAATTGGTATATCCAAGAATCAATGTTATTTTGGTTAAATTAAGCAAAAATATATGTGTGCTGGATGAAATCTAGCTTTTTTCATACTAATTTCGTACCATGCCATCGTCCGTGAGATTACACACTGTTGCCTTAAAAATGTCAAAATTTAAAAAATAATAATACATACCAAGGTACTACTAGCCCAAACGAACTTAGTCGGTAGTACGTATTTTGATGTACACGCCCGACCATACTAGGTATATTTGGGGAATTGTAGTTTTTTTATTTGATGCCTATAAAAACGACACAATGGTGATTATACTTGTTCTGGGAAAACGTAAGTATCATAGTAATGTATCAATTCCGCAAACGTTCAATTTGGCATTTATCTTCGAACAACAGGTTGTAAAATTGCATGCATTAACCTCACAAAATCTAGTAAATCTAGTTCAAATAGATATTGTATTGTATTATCATCGATGTTGTGTAACTAAATTAGTATGAAAAAAAAATATACTGTTACTTATGGCTAATTGTATAGACTTTTGGAAGACTAAAACTGAAAGGTATTACACAGTACTTAAACACTTTTAAAATAACGTTGACGTAAAAATTAATCTTTTTGTATATATAAAAACAGTTTTTACTGTTCGTGTTAGGTTTTTCAATCGGAATTTGTTGAAAATTTATTATACTTTGTCAAACCTATATAATTTAATATTTTAGTAGCTATATTACGTTTTAGTATTGAATTTTGCACAGTATTAAAACTTACAAAGATTGGATCTATTTTTCAAATTAATTTCTATGAAAACCTTATTGATATACAGAGTATTTTAAATATGACACTTTGTTTAATATATGGCATCACTTTTACATTAAAATCGCAATGACCAAAGGCCTGATCTTGAGAAACTCTTTCTGAAGTTTAACCACATAATAGACAATTGCACAAGTATTAGGTTTAGACAATCTGGTGAATCGAAACGTTAATACTTGAAGCTAATATCAAAATTGTTCTAAAATGGTTTCCTTTTGGTTTCTTAGTTTTTACCAAATACTGAATTTCTCGTTCCTTTACTGTGCTCTACTGCTGACTTGAATATATTTCATTTGCGAACACATGATCCTTGCCTCACTCTCCTCAAATATCGTCTACATTTTCGTTGGTGGACCATTTTTTCTGTCCTTGAAGATTTAAACTGACTACCGGCTCATAAGCTTGATCAATCATGTCACTAAAGCGTTCACTAAGATCATTCACAGAAGAATATATGATAAATGTGAGTCAAATATTGATAGATCGCAGTTTGGTTTTCGGAAAGCACTTGGAACTAGAGAAGCAATTTCGCTCTCCAGGTGCTTATACAACGGTGTAGAGACGTTGATAAAGACGTGTATCTGTGCTTTGTAGATTTTAGAAAAGCATTTGACAATGTCAATCATGAACAATTGATAGGTATTCTGCGAAAGACAGGTATTGACGACAAGGACATTCGAATTGTGGCAAACCTATACTGGGGTCAAACAGCAAGAGCAAAATTGGCAACGAACTCACTGAAAGCGTGCAGATCAAAAGGGGTGTCCGTCAGGGGTGTATATTATCCCCACTCCTATTCAATATGTATTCCGAGGAAATATTTAACAAATGTATGGAAAATGCAAATGAGGGCATTAAAATAAACGGCGAGTTAACGAACAATATAAGATACGCCGACGACACGGTGATCCTTGCCAGTACCATAGACGAATTACAACAAGTAATGGAAAGACTTTATTCAGTTAGTGAGGAATACGGCCTGAGCCTCAACTTCAAGAAGACAAAGTGGATGCTGATAAGCAAAAAGCAACAACCTGCTCGACAATTACGGATAAGTAACATATTAATTGACCATGTAGAATCTTATGTGTACCTTGGCACCAACGTAAATGCAAAATGGGAACAGACCATAGAAATTAAGGCGAGAATAGAACGAGCTAGAGCAGCATTTAGCAATATGAAAAAACTCCTCATAAGCAAGGATTTGTCTCTTCCCCTAAAACTACGTATAGTTAAATGCTACATTTTCCGATCTTGCTGTATGGCGTGGAGGCCTGGACGCTGACGGAGACGCTAACAAGAAAACTAGAAGCATTCGAAATGTGGGTGTACCGACGCATTCTTCGTATATCCTGGACCGAACATGTCACCAACATAGAGGTACTCCAAAGAATCGGAAAGGAGAAAGAAATCGTGAATACAATTAAACAAAGAAAGCTTGAATATCTAGGCCACATATTGAGACACGATAAGTACCGTCTGCTACAATTGATTGTCCAGGGAAAAATAGACAGTAAGCGAGGGCCAGGCAGGAGAAGACACTCGTGGCTCCAAAATCTGCGGAAGTGGTTCGGGCTCACATCGGTCGAACTATTTTAGAAGCGCCGCAAACAAGATCAAAATTGCCATGTTAATAGCCAACGTTCGCAACGGAACAGGGCACTTGAAGAAGAAGAAGAAGATTTAAAACCAAAGACATTTCTCGCACCTACAGGTTTTTTGTATTTCCAATCAAATCCCTTTCTCCAAAACTTACTAAAAAATCATTTTTTGCTGAGTTCGATCCATAGTTCTTCGGTTGTAATCATATTTGGTCATTACACATTTTAGATTGTTCTCAAATATCGTTAAACAAACTCCTTCGGCCTCTGACTTAGCATTTGTGACTTTTTACGTCTCACTGCTGTAAAAAAGAACAGATTTTACATTCTATGGAATAAGCAAATGTTTGTTTTTACTAGATAGTCCAAAACATTCAAAAATGGACGCACAATATCTGGCTTAATGAATATGACTAACAAACAGACTAAAAATGTTTATATTATCAATATCAGCGACGTAAAAAGATTAAGAATATTTTTCAGTGTTTTAATATATACGAGGTAAAACGAAAATGCTACAACAAAAGTTCCACCCTCTATTTCATCCCTCGTTTATTTGGCTTTTTTTACATAGATGTTTAACCACAGCAACTTTCCATGTTTAGTTATTCAAAACACGTTCTACTGTATGTATATCAAGAATCTGTTTTCGTATTGGAGTAATTCGAGCTTAATTGAATGTAGTTTGCTCAGTTGAAATTATTTTATTAGCCCAATTAAGAAAAAACAATGCTGTAGACATGGAGAACTTTGGATTACTGTGCCAGGACGTTTGAAAAACGCCAAAACGGTGGAAACCACTTAGTGAACAAAACGATAAACAAATTATAGTTTATTTACTAGAAACGACTATACAACCAAGCACACGTGTTCATAGCCAAAATTAATTGTAAATGAAAAGTAAAGAAATATTAACATGTAGTTTTTCAACAAAATAAAAGTTTGTAATGAAAATGAATGAATGTACACTCCCATTGTTACTCCTCTTTTTTCGATTAAAGAAATCTCTAATATTAAATTTATTTCAGCTATTACCACACATTGTCCAAATATGTGAGCTTAGGTGGTTCCCTTCTTCCGACCGGTTTATTTAACAGTTATTTTAACAGGATCACTTCCATCCATTCGCATTATGTGAGGTGGTTTATTTTCATGGTTTTAACAATATCTGCATTACCAACGAGTCTATAGAGTTCAAAATGATGATCTTTATACTCCACCATCAATACTCTTCTTTGAAATATTGGCAGCAACTCCTCTCGCGTCGTCATTACACATGTTTACGATCCATAAATGCATAATATAATATACAATATAAAAGCACTGGGCATATTATCTGAGGGCCTAGGCCTAGGTAGCAATCATTATCCATGCATATTGGCTTCCTTGCTTCTGTGGAAGTATTTGCTCTTGCAGTCCAGCAGAGACCGCAGTAACAGAATTCTTTCACCGCTTCGATAATCTCATGTTATCAAAAGATAATAAATTTGAGCTCAAGAGACATATACATCTGTCACGATAATTCACAATACATGACTTGGTAACTAGAAGTGTCCAGTGTAATGGCAGATTTACTAAAAATATTGCTCACACGGGATAGCGTGAAAAGTTACTCCACTGCATGTTCTCCTGTTCGCCCCATCCTAGAATGGTCACATCACTTTTTTAAAACTGGCTAATAAATTTCCTATAGATGAAGTTAAATTAACAGAATGTTCATGTTTATATTCGTAAAAATAAAATAAACAGGTGCAAATTGGTATCAGTAATAGACAAAAAACCTAACAGCAAGAACCGGAAAACATTTTCTGAATTAGAATGTAATCAAAGAACAAGAAATGCCATTTAAAATTGTCCATAAAATACTTCCAATTAATTTAAACAATGTATTCTTGTTGGAGCTACTTTTGTTACCTAAACAAGTTCCAAAAAGAATTGTTTCAGGTGTTTACGATTAATTAACTCTAGTAGAATCTGTTTGAAGGTTGTTCTGTACATTTTTACCCAATGAGAACCTTTGTGGTTCTAGATTTCTTCTTCTGTGATTCTTCAATTTTTGGTTTTACCAAAATGAGAACCATTTTGTTAAATAAATCTAGACATACAAATTGTTGAAGTTTAATAAAAAAAAGACAAAAAATTGTCGTATTTAAATATCAAGTACTCAACTATATCGATCCATTCTTTGTAGAATTACCTCAAAATCGTTTCCTAAAAGTGTTATGTTCTTGGTAAAAATTTTGTTAAGAATTGGTGTTTCTGTTTTGAAAAAATACGAACCTTAAATGCCTAAATCTGTACTTTGCCTAAAATGAGAGCTAAAAATAAAGGGAACAATATTGATAATGTAGTTGTAAAAACTATTTATATTTTGTATATTTGAAAATATTGTAAAAAATTACTTAATGTATTATACAAGTTTTAAGTGTTGATTTTTATTAATAAAAGTCTTAAAATATAAATTAAGTTTTATTAGTTATAAGTCCTTATCAATAAATTTTAAAAATACAAACTATTCATTTTCTGAGCTACTGCCGCCTTGAGCTAGAAACACCTGCTGACCGCCCGCGTTCTGTTGAGCTACCTGGATTATTTGTGACTGTGTTCCAGCGGCAATGGGAGCGGTCTGAATTATTACTGGTTGGGAAGAATTACCTTGGAGCTGCATTTTAATCATCTGAAGTTGCTGGGGTGTTAGCTGTATCTATAAAAGGGGTTTCTATTATTTTAATATATTAATATTAAAGATCTAATGAATAAAGGAGCTGTTCGAGTAATTCGAACTCTAAATCACGAATTGTTTGTACGGCAGCATATGATTTGCGTGCAGAGGCATTGTTCTGCAGAAACAAAATTTCTTTGGGCAATATTTCCAAGTCTTGTGTCCATAATGTTTTATCGTTAAGTACTCAGTAACGTCGAATAGTAATTCTCAGTTATCCTTATAAAAAAAAACGAAAAAGCCACTCCTAACGTGCAAAAATCTAAATTTGAGTATTAAAAATATCATGGACTGATAGAATTACAAATAAAGAAGTACTGGAGAGGGATGGTAAAGAAACAAAACTAATTACCACTATACAAACCAGAAAACTGGAATACCTAAGCCACGTGATGAGGGGACCAAAATATGAAATTTTGAGACTCATAATAGAGGGAAAGATTAAAGGAAGATCTGTTGGCCAAAGGCAGAACTCATGGTTGAAGAATCTACGTGATTGGTATCAATGCAGATCGATTGATTTGTTTAGAGCAGCAAGTTCAAAAATAAAAATAACCATTATGATTGCCAACCTCCGTAGGGAGACGGCACTCTAAGAAGAAAAAAAAACTGAAGCAAGAGCTTTTCCAGCAAAAACACATTTTTTAGGCCTTGGAGGACTAGAGTATCTCCATTCCATAGATTGCTGGTTTGTTTCTGGCCGAAGAAATGTACATAAGTTTCATCTACTGTAACAGCATGGGTTAATAACTTTGCATCTTTTTTAAAACGAGCATAAATCGAAGGAGATGCTTCTACGTTTCTGATTAATATTCAGTTTTTGGATCCAGTTTGCAGAAATTTTTGTCATGTCCAAATCGATGTGAATTAGATGATGGATATGTCCATATGAAACATTCAGTGCCTCAGATATTCGCCCGAGACTATTTGACGGTATGATAAAATCATGTCAAAGTGATTGGATATTTAAGTGGAATTGTCCTTCTCGATCAGTTTTCATCTTCAGTGAGAAATATACCTCTTTTGAAGTTTACAATGCAATTTTTCACGGTCGCATACACAGAATATTGACAGCCAAGGGTATTAAATTCGTAAATCTGCTTACCTCTTAACCCCTTCAATTACAATTATTACATGATGGTAACTCGATTTTGGTCGTTTTTGATTGCGCAACTCTGGTTTATCTTTTTGATGTAAAACTTTACATGATTCTAGTAAATTATTTTTCGATGGTATGGTAACGCATTATTTTTTTAATCACACACGTTCTAGGCTAACTAGATATCAATCAGTACATCCTCGTATATGGGAGTAATCTAATATTAGAGTAAAAGCTGTAATCTACATTCTTGTAGCGTTGTAGATTCTTGTAGTACGTAATTTATTTAAGCTATTTAAGTATACTTTAGCAACCGTGGTCGTGTTTTTGGAAATATGGTAATAATGGAATTTTTCGTTATATAATAAAAATAAAAAAGTATAAATTAAATGAAAAATTAACTACACACCGGTATTTGTTGTATTTCTCCTGTAGGTGTAACAATCTGTTGAATTATTTGCACGTTCCCTTGGTTTTGAGGTATCGTTTGTCCCTGTTGTAGAATAACCGGTGATTGGGTTGTAGTTGTATTACTTTGAGTCGCTGATGTGGGAGTAGGCTAGAATACAAATTAGCTTTAAGAATTTATATAAAGGAAAATTTACTACGAGTACGTACAATATTTAGATTAATTATAAATATAAATAATTAATTAATAAAGAGGAATTCATCAAACGCACACCAAGTGAAAACTATAAATTTGTAATACATATATTTGCATGTTCAAGGTCAGAGGCTTATTTTAAATATTTATAAATGTTTGAGAACAGAAAATGAAATTCAACCCCACACGAAATTATCATTAGAATCTGTAAATTAACAAAATTGTCTATACCTAGTACGGTTTATAGGGTTCTTAAAAGGGAAGATGTTACTGATCACAGCTTAAAAAGAAAACGTGACAAATGAAATTTCAAAAAATTGATGACGCTTCAAGAAATGGAATTTGAAGAACGGTATATGATATTTATAAAGAAAACAAAGTTCCAACATTATAATTAGCGCATAGTAATTACAAAACTCTTGTTCAATGTGGATTTACATTCAAAAAACTTTATATGCGAATGGTTATAATGGAATCAACGCGTATTGTGAATCTTAGTCAAATTTATTTAAGACCATTTTGATATTCAATACTTTTCTAATACAAATATGCTGGCCTATAAAAGATCAAAAAAAAATTTAAACAGCAAAAAACCGACAAGGAACCAAAAAAATTTGAAAACAAAAAATAAAAAAATATATAAACGACTATAAAGACTTTAAGTAAAAAAAGTATGTAACTCTTATTTTTAAACTTTATAGTAAATCGAGGTTTTCTTTATAAATACAAGTTTTTACTGGCATCTTGCTATACGGCATATTTTACACAAAATTAAAATAGAGTCTGTTTGATTAACTTAAGAAGAGGAGCAGAATGTGGAGCTGACCATAAACTACTGACAGCAAAAAGGTGCATTAACTGGAAACATAACGAGACCCCCTCTACAGAAGAGAAAAACAATACAATATAGAACTACTACAAGAAAAATCAATAAGAGAACTATACAAAAAGTCTAGACCAAAAATTAATAGGAGAGAAACAACATATAAGAAATAAACAGCACTATAAATATCTGCTGTTATTTATATAATAAATAACCAACAAAAAGAATAATTGAAGAAAAAAGCAACTATACAGAAAATGGCTGACTTCAAACAACGATGAAGTTTATAAAGAATATAGAGAAAAAGATAGATAAGTGAAAAAACAAATAACACAACAAAAGAATAAAGAATGGGAAAAAAATGCTTAAATATTGAAACATAAATATGAGTACAAGAACGGAATCATGAAAAGTAGTGAGAGGATTGAAACAAAACTCAAAAGAAAAAATTAAATTGGGAAATATACAGGACAAAGAATGAAAGGTCTATTACAAGGAACTGTTAACAGAACAAACCAAAAGACCAAGACCAAAATCCATTGGAAAAGAAAACTGGCGAAGACGAAGCAGATCCCCACAACAAGAAATAGAAATAACAGATAGGGAAATGAAAACGGCCATAAAAGAAATCAAAAATAAGAAAGCACCGGGACCTGTAGGCATCTCACCTGAGCTTATAAAGTACGGCTCAAAAAATTACACCAGATGATGGATATTTCAGAAAGTCATAAATGGAAAACAGCTCCCAAAAGAATGGACGGATTCATATATGACATATATATATATATATATATATATATATATTATATATATATAATATATATATATATATTATATAATATATATATATATATATTGTTATGCTATTTAAATTGTATTCTATTGTTTATTTAGAAAAGATCCTGTCTATATTTATTAAATGATCTAATCTCCAATAATCACAATAAATCAGCATTAATTAATTACAATCTCAGGCTATTTAACTTGTACTATTTACCTTTGATCGTGGATTCAAAATATTTTCCAATTGGGATAGGTAATATGACCTGAATAAAATACACAGAATTTCAACTGAACTATATGTGAGATGTCCTTTATTTTAATGAAATTTTATATAACAATCAATCCTGTAATATTTGCAATATAATACTTTAAATATATATGAGAAGTTGTTTTCTATCATGGACTCAATGTTATTTTACATTGATTTTTAATATGTGTTATAACTAAGCTCTCTTTATAATTTTTTTCTTTAAATGATCGCAAAATTAACTGTCTCTATTATTTATTCAATTTATTTAATTAATAAATGAAAACCACACTCCTGCTCTAATGAAAATTGACTGATCTTTCGTTCTCTGCCGTTGTAATTCTATGGCCACGCCATAAAAAAAAACCTTTCTCTGCTTCTGCTCCTATTGTGGTCCAGATGACGTACACCTTTCTCCTATCTGTCCTTGTTATCTGCAACCCAACAACTCGTGTAATTCTATGCAGCCTCCTTTTGAGCGAATCTCCGCGCCTGTTTATAACTTCAAATGTTTCCGGCTTCGTCTGATATTAATATTCTTATACCCTTTGGTTTTTCTATCTCTCTGTACCCCGTTCCTTACACTGATCAGCTTTTACACAGCAAATAAACACACCCGGTAAATTACGTCTTCGGTACTTCAAACCAACACAAACCACAAAGCTCCTTCCTTCTTGGGCGACAAAAACTGACTAACTAACTTTTCTCCTCTCTCCTATCTCATAGCCAAAACCACTACCTCCCATTGCATTCAAAAATTGACCAATAAAAATCATCCACCTCTGTGACGTATATCGTTACTAACAACTACTCTTTATAAAACGTCATTCGGGTAATTCCAGAGAAAACAACATTCTTTAATTATTCTAACTAAATCTATCTGCTTTACAAATATTTTCTTACTAATAGCTACAAACGATACCTGTTTCTCAATTCAATGTCTTTTGTTAATAAACTTTTACCGATATAATCTTTCGGGGAGAAAAACCACCGCAAATCCCGGTCTATTGTTTTAAACACTATCTATCTACACTTTTATTCTGGGTAAATCCATTTCACAATAACCGACTTATTTAAATTTCTTATCGATAATATTTGAAAGTCTTGTCTCTGAGGCCTAATGAACAATTCTTCGAACAACTTAAAATACATATTTGTCTTATACAGGATGTTTGAAAATTTATATGCCCGTGTCTTTATGAAATATCAATAATTTTAATTTTTATTTAAGTAATAAAATTTGTATATCGGTTTTTTATTGCTTATGGACATTCAAAAGTACAACAATATATATTATATATTATATATATATATATATATATATATATATATATTATATATATATATATATATATATTTAAGAAAGGAGATAAAAACGATGCGAAAACTGCAGAGGAATAAGCGTAATATCATCAATAGGAAGATACTGCGGGGAAAGATAAAGCAAGCGATAAAAGGCAAAATCAGGGAGGATCAGGCACGCTTCACTGCACTAAGTGCTATCTATTAGTGAATATTTGAACTATAAATAAAAGACCAGACACTTTGACCTTTATTTACGTTAAAGGCATTGACACATAGGTACATCCCTTTTTCGGTCTTAATAAATTAATGATACAAACCAAATGTAAAGACAAGTTAACTTACATTCATAAAATTAAGTATTATATAAAAAACTAAATTTCGTACCCCTTTAACTTAAATTTCTGAGGTAGCACCGATAAGCTTGAGACTTCTGTTTTCAATTAACTTTGGATAAAGATTACGAACTGTTTGGTCACATTAGTACTAATTTAAAAAGTATATTATCTTACCTGTTCAATTGTATTAACTTGAACTGTTTGTACTTGTTGAGGTTGAACTATTTGTATTGTTCCTTGAGATTGGGTTGTACTTGGAGTGGTGGTGGGAGAAGTATTGTTTTGTTGTAAATTAGCATGATGTTGTTGAGCAAGTTGAAAGTAATAATGTACCTAAAAATACACATTAAGTAAACAAAGATCAACTAGAAATTTATTTATTTGTGAGATGCTACATTTCATCAGAAATTAAGGAATTATCATTTGTGATATCACAAAGGGATAGACCAAAGTTAAGATAGACAAAACAAAAATATCAAATTTAGTATAAAAACCAATTTCCACAAAATCGTATTCAGTTCCCTAAAGCGGTTTAAACTTGTTGACTCTTCGTTAAGACCTGGACTTTTTTCAGAAGCTATCTTTAATAAACCAATCATAATGCAGCCAATTTAAGACCTGGGCTTGAAATAAAAATTATCTATTGATCATATTAAATCATCTTGTACCTCTGTAATATGACGGCCAAAACTATGGCAAATTCATTTGCCAAAATTGGTCACAGTTGATCAGAGAAAGATTTGCTTTTCGAAAAATTGCTCACAGTTCAGCAAAGAAAGTGCCAGCAATTCACAGAATGTTGCCACAGCCAGACAAGAACAGTGTTGCATTTTGGCTTAAGACGAACTTCCTTGCAAAGAATCCTGAAGGAGCTGGGTGCATTTTCGCATGCGTTTCAGGTACATCAACACTTACATCTCAGGGATTATCACAGTAGAGTGGAATATTGTGCCAGATATGCAGTAGAAAATCTTGATTTTTTGAAAAATATATGGTTTTCAGATGAAGCACATTTTCATTTGTCAGGCCATGTAAATCGTCGCACAAATCGATTTCTAGGCTTTGTCAGACCAGATGAAGTTCAAAAAGTTCCTCTACATACCGCAAAAGTGAGTGTCTGGTGTACAGTTCCAGGACACAGAATGATTGGTCTATACTTTAACGATGAAAATGGTAGGTAAGTTACACTTAAACAACAGAGGTATATACAAATTTTAACATGCTTTATCCCTTCTTCTTAGAGTGCCGTCTACCTACGGAGGTTGGCAATCATAATGGCTATTTTTATTTTAGAACTTGCTGCTCTAAACAAATCTTGCTTAGCTTTATCCCTGATCTGCATCAATTTTGTTGTGCACGTAATTTGTCATTTTAAGACCAATTTTTCCAGCAGGATGGGGAACTGGCCATACTTCTGTTGCAGTTTGTCAATTTCTTCAGGGACATTTTCCGAACAAATTCATTTCACGATTTACTGACTTCTCCTATTATGCACATTCTCCAGACTTGACATCTCCAGACGCATACATTTTGGGGCATACATCTGGGGCCGATTTTAAATGTGTACCACAAACCATCAATGAGTTAAAGGATCAAGTTAGAGCCTTCTTCACGGACTTGAGGCAACCTTTATTCCATAACATTACGAGAAATCTGGAATAACAGTATGAAGTCTGTCTTGAGAGAGGGGGAGCTCATTTAGAACATGTTATAAAGTGTCAATAATATGTGTTTTTTAAAACAATAAAATAATTACAAGTTCAGTACTGTTTATTTTGGGCTATACTGTATTATTTAAAAATGAAACCAAAAAATATACATTACCTGGTCTGGATTTGATGATATTCTTGATTCGTCTCTTACTTTATTGGGTTTTATATCATCCCGAGGAACTATGTCAATTAAGAAGTCAAACTGGTCATATTTTGTTATTGCCATTGCTAGGTCATTTCTCTGCAATTAAAAAATCTTTAATATATGACTCTGACAATATTGTCTACGGCATAATCTTAATTTAATAATAAAATTTATTAAAGTAAATATTATAGTTTACTTATTTTATTACATTATTACATATTATTTATTTATTAGATGTAGGTACATGTGAAATACAATTATTAAAATACCTGCAAAGTTCGTCTTTTGTTATCTTCAGTGTGAATCCATGCCCTTAATGTAAGTTCATGGATAAAAATTTCCGCTGCTTTGGCAAACAATAAAGGTGCCTCTGCGCTGATCATCTTAACATCCTCATCCAGCTTCATAATTTTTTTAATTCGAGCCAAAGGCAGAACTTGCTGTTTGAGATCCATCTATAACCATATAATTAAAATATAAAACTCAATAAAAATCGAGTTGGTTAACAAAGCAGATAAATATAGATAATCCTAACAAATTATATGAGATTATAATCCTTGAATCCCCTTTAAAACGAAAGATTTAATCCTTGTGGTGTACAACAGAAATATACAGATAAATAATATTTAAACATGTACAACCAAACCTGTGCAATAGAACAGTATGCTTGTAAGATATTTGTCTGCATAAAGGAAGTCTGTATTATCCTGGTTTGATTTTTACATTAGAATATGCAGAAAATAACTAAATTTCAACAACATACAGTATTCAGTGTTAGGCAGGTTATGGGTTTCTCAGGTTTTTGTTTTTATTTTACTTCATATTATTTTTCATCCAAATTTAGGTTATTTCAATTCCATTTAAATTCTTACCATACTCATTTCATCTTGAATAAAAATACGTTTTAATTTTAAATCCCCTTTACATGGTGTTAGGAGTAAATCACTAGCTTATTGTCCAAGTATTTTCATGTTACCTTATGTACAATTATTGTTTTGTTGATTTTTGAACTATTAACTCTAGTATAATATAAGAATGAACAAAATACCTACATTACGAATGGATCTTATTTCCTCCATAACTTTAGGCCAGAACTGATTTAGCGCTTGTTGTGCTTGGCTTTGAGTTTGGGACTGATCATCTACACATTGTGTATCGGTTTTGTCTTCATTAGAGTCTCTGTGAGATAAATGTTATGAGAAAATGTATTATTTACTGCGTTCAATACTTACGTATTTACAAAGAACAGGGAAGTAGACATTTTCAAGTATTTAATTACTCAGGTTTCCGAATATTGAAAATTAAGGCGCCGCTAATATAACCAATCAGTTTTTACTTTTGATTCCTTTTCTGCCCAATCCAATTGAAATGTACTATTCAATGTCAAAGTGACGTTTATAGAATAACATCAGACAATTAGGGATGAGGCATATTTTAACGACGTAACTATTTAACATTATGCAATTCCCAAGAAAACATCCTTTTAATAATTGTAGTCGCAGAATATTATTTGAAATAGACCTCATATATTTAATAGTGCCCATATATGTTAGTTAAAAATACCTTCTTGGCTTTACCAGTTAAAAAAAAATATAGGGATGTTGTTAAAATAACGGGATATGAAATTTATTTCTAAATTATTAACAAAAAAATAATGTTGAAAACTAGATATTTATCTGACCTATTCCCTTGAATGTATTTTAAAATCAATTATATTAAATTTTGATATAATTTATTGACAGATTGTATGTAAAACCACAGAAAACATAGAACAAGAATAAATTTGGGTTACCCAAAAGTTGGCAACATAGCAGCTGACGTCTGCCATTTTCATTTACAGTGTCAAAAAATTTAAACTTTATATATTTTATTTTTTCTTATTTTTACATTTTTTATTATTAGAAAATTTTAATTTTCGTTTTGAATGAGGATCTTTATCTTCAGCTTCAGTATCACTACCAGAATCACTTATATCGTCTACACCTAAAACAATCAAGGATTTAGAATGTAAAGTAAAATTTTAGTTACTCCTAATACCATTATAAACAATTTACTCAAAGTGTGTTATAGATACTAGGCTGTATTAATAACAATTTGAGAATATATATATAATATAAAAATACGTACTTTCAGAATTTGTCTTATTTACCAATTCGGTTAAGTGTACATTAATGCATTTTTGTAAGTCCTTCATTTCTTGCCGAAATTTCGGCCATTCATTTACTTCTACATTTCTTTCAATACATACTGTTGTTGTATTATTGTGTTTCAAATGAAATTTAAACATATTAAAACTAAAAAATCAGATAGGTAAAATAAACAATAATAGAGGTTAGTTTCTACCTCTTTCTTCTTCTTTTTTTTTTAAATATTGTACAATGTACCAGAGATGGTTTCTTATCTCTACCCCTCTACTGTCTGTCAACATTCTGTGACATAGACTGTGTATACTAAAAGAAGAAATTTAGTTCTTCAGAGAAGTAGTTATCCAGTTATATTATTATTTCATGTCGTAAATGACGTTTTTCTAACCGGGTGTCAAATTTTATAAAATAAAAATGCTGTATAATGAAAATGACTTGTTCAAATTGATTCATCAAAATAAATTGAATAAGTGCACCGGGTACTTTCTGATTATTTAATTTGTTTCATCAACGTCTACTAGTGAATCAACCAAGAAGCGTACGAGTTAACGGTTTTGTTTATGTCCATTTGTTTGTATAATTTTTCAAATAGTAATATATTTTTAAATAGTGTTATCTTATCACTATAAAATTATTAGTTAGAATGGAAAAGACCGTAATGTAAATAACCTATGAATTAAGAAGTCATGTATTCATGTGAACACCAAAGAAAATGAAGATTTCAAAGGCAGTTCCTTTCTTTGTTTTCTTGTTTACTACAGCTGTTTATGGTAAGAAGGAAATATTTTTAATAACACATACCTATCTTTGTTTAGTTTATCTTATCAAAATCATTAATTTAATATTTCGAAGTACTATTAAATTAAATAAAGAAAACATCTGATTTAATCTCACTATACCATATTTACATAAAAAAATAATTCATCAGTTCAGTAATCTGTTACACAATTTATTTTTATGTTTTGCGTCTTTGTTAACTGTTTGTTTATTTAATATTAAGAGATAAAGATTTTGAATTACTCCAAGTACCTAAGGTGTTCTTTTATGTAAGATATTGTGGATTCTTGTACCCTTAATATGATAATGTCACCAGGTTAAACAATATAATCAATTTGTGGAAATTGTAGTTTACCAGGAATGTAATTTTCTGATTTCTTAATTTATAGTTTAGTTAAATTGTTTAGTCACATAATTTATTGTCTTTTATGTTTGAGAAAAATACATAACTTTGGAAGGTAGAACTACTAAAATATATTACAGAACATAAACAAAAAATCTCTCATTGAGGTGCCCATAACATTTTGAGTGTTGTAATATTTGCAAAGAATATTACTTAGCGTCTATATTCTTTGATATTTGTTTTTGTTCTTAGCCTATTTTTTTATGTATTGATTATTAGAAAATGTTTGTTTTATTTGAAAATGTGTTTGATCTGTAAAAAGATAAAATTCTATCAATTGCTTTATATACTAGATATCTATATCTTTATATACTAGATATCTAGCAGTACACTTATTTTTCACCATAGTTTAGATCTACTAACCAATTTGTTTTGAATCTTTCCTTGTATATTTATGTGAATGAAGTAATAATTGTTGGAGTATAACATTTAAATGGTAGACTATTGTTCAAAGAACATAATTTTTAAGTAAAATTTGAAGTTTGGATTATTTCACAATGTTATTTTTTTTTATTACAAACTCGGATCTTCTTAAACCATAGTTTAGATCTGTTAGTCAATATCAATTTTGATTCCCTTTCAATATATGGACATATTAGTTTTTAGAATAGCTGATAATAACTTTGACATATGCTGTGATGTCTCTGAAAAACCTCATGCATAATGTTTTTTTATATATTTTTAAAACTTTATGTGGTGCTTTGTTAAAAGTAGACCATGAAATATCTAATATCAATATAAAATCTTAAACTGCCTTGAACATTGCCTATTGAAGTTTTTCTTACAAACTAGCATAATTATTTATTGCCCTAAAACTGGTTAAGATATGCAAATGAAATTTGGTATTGGGCTTTAAGAGTTAGGAGAAAATAAATTTGTATTTATTTTTGCAATGTTTGCACGAATATAGCAACCAATGAGGCTAAGAGTTACAATTTGTGTCACATTTCGGGGAGGTTATTTTGAACATTTTTCTAGCTGTGTGCCTATTTAAAATTATACTAGTGGTACTTTATGTTATTGATCTGATTTAATGAAAATAAAAAGAATAAAAAGTATGCATTTATATATTTTATTTATTTTTGTATAAAAATGGCACATTATGTAAAAAAAAGATGAGTTTTTTTAATAAAAATTAAATGAAGAATTTAGAAATGATTTTTAATTCAAAACATCTCAGTGGCATATCATTTTTTTCCTTAAAAAAAATTAAGGCCATTACCCGTATGTGTGCCAATGATAATTACAAGGTTCCTAATTGATTGTCAAAAAATATGCACTAACTCTTAAAACCCATCAAATATCATTTGCATATCAAACAGTTTCAGGGCAATACATAAATCATTTGTTTGTAAGAAAAATCAACACCCTGTATCACAGAAAAAGAAGCATTTGTGTACACACATTTATATAGCAAATAATTATTTTTCATGCAGAATCACTCTCTGAAGGTGTTTTCACTTATTTACTAAAACTCTGTATATTTTACAAATACAGTCAAAATCGTTTATAACGAACTTCAGAGAACTGGTGCTTTTTGTACGTTGTAGCCAGTGTTCTCTGTAAGCAGTTCTATCGGTTATAATGAACAGGTTGCTATAAACGATATTACACTAATAGGGACAGTTAGTTCGTTTGTACCTAGGGTTATGACGCAAAAATGTGTTACTTTAACTATACTTATAATATGTTATAATAACTTATTATACATAACATTTAACATATGTGTTAACAAATCTAAATATGTACATACATATATGTATAATATGTATTGAAATAAGTATAAGTAGTGAATAAAGTATACACATAATATAACGGCTTCTCCAAATCTTCGTATTATAAAAATGTAGGCATACATATACTATTTATTTTAAAAAGACAAAAAAAATACATACATATATGTATTACAAAATATGTAAACACATTTTACCTGAATATTTAATGAAAAAAGTCTGTAATTTTTGTTTGTCGCCTTCCTTAAACTTCTGAAAAAAACGTTTTTTCAATTGATGTGGAAACAATCGATAATGATTCTTTTACATTCTGGTAAGTTTCAGCAGTCTGAATAAATGCTCGTATGGTGGAACAAGCAGCATACGCTTTAGCAACAGTAGGGATTTTGCCGAAATCTTCCAATTCTTCATCAGCCTCATCAGTACTTTGTTTGTCACTAGTTTGGTGACTCAGTACGATGTCAATATCTGAGAGTTCTCCGCTCGTATTTATTTCGTCATCCACTCGTGCATAGTCATCTGCAGAGCAGTCAGAACTGAAAAGAGAAATGGCATCCTGCAAATGCGTTTGTGCAATATCGTTGTATGCGATTCTTGATGGTTGTAAGTCTTTAGTTAGGCCGGAAAAACGAAAACAGTTGATGATCGTTTCCTTCCGCACAGATTCCCATGCCTTTGATATCATTAGTACAGCGTCAAGAATACTGACTTTCGTATCGTCGTTATTCTCTCTCTTTTCGATGATTTTGTACACCAATTCTTTCCGAAAGCATGCTTTAAGACTTCTTATAACTCCTTAGTCTATGGTCTGCAGTACAGACGTACAATTTGGAGGCAGAAAAACGAGTTTAATTTGTTTTAACCTGTCAACTGTGGGGTGGGAAGGACAGTTGTCGACAATTAAAATTATGTGTTTCTTTTGTTGTAAAAGTTCACTGTCCCATTTTAGTAAAGTCTTTTCAAAAATAGCTGACGGAACTTTTTATGGAACCGGACATGTTGGCTGCAACAAGAAACTGTAACACGCTCTTTTGAGAGTTTACCACCGGAACATTTCTCGCCTTTAAACTTTAACGTTGCGATCAGGTGTCAGTCTAAAAAATAACCCCATCTCGTCAGCATTAAAAATTTCATCATCGCTATAGTCGGACCTGAGTGTAGGCCACACATTTTCAACCCAGTCATTTATAATTGATCTGTCAACAACTGCTGACTCACCTGAAATTGTTCCATGGACAATATTGTAGCGAGCTCGAAAACGTTGAACCCGGGAAGCATTACACTTAAAATTCTTCTTTAAAATCACAGCGAAAGCAT